TTGGGTTTGGTCGAAGCAGCCCTAGTGGTGACACGAGACTCCACTTTCTAGTTCATTAAGGCTGTATTTACTTGCTTCTAAAAGGAAAATACTTGGCTCCTACCATGTTGGAGGACATGTGTCCTACAGCCATTTTACAGAATTATACACTAATTTAGAATTTAAGGGTTTAAAATTTAGAGTTTAGATTTTAAGGTTTAGGGTTTAGATGTAAAAATCAGGAGGTGATAGGATGCATGTCCTCCAACATATTAGAACCAACTATTACCCCTTGAAAATAAGTGAGAATTATAAAATTGTGGGAAGTTCAATAAACTTTAGGAAATATCTAAATGATTTTCCCACAACTCACCCTTTCTCAGCTGGTAAGGTCTCTAGCAGTTTGTAAAAGAGACTTGGGATCAAATCCTACTGTCACAGAGTTTGATCTTCTTCCAACAAGCCACTGCAGTCTGCAGCCGCGAATTGGGGGTAGCCCGTCTCCCAACCTCCATCATGGGGAGATGTTTTCAATGTGTCGTTATAGTATCTTATTCGTTGATTTATTGGAATCATTTGTTATTAACACATTCGGTTTCACTGTCACGGTGTCACCAGAGTTTGGGGGGTTGTGGGTTTTAGGGGATGGACTACCGCCCCATTGTGTAAAATAAAAAAAAAAAAGCAAGTTTACTCTAGTTCGCATCCCCATACTTCTTTGCTTCTATGCTTCTCTTTCTTCTCTGGTCTTGCCATTTCTGTGCAAAACCACCATACAAGGCTACAAGTTCCTCTAAGTCTTAATTTTGGGTTTCTGCTGCATCACACCCTTGCAGCTGCAGGGGAGTACCAAGGCTACGAGTTAGGCCTTCAAGACCTAAAGCGTAAATACCTATAAAATACAAGTCCAAATTGGATTGTGATTCCTTGAGCCACAGCACACTGCTCGGGGGAAAAATGATATTCACCTTATGTTCATTAGCTCCTCTTTCACTTTTTAATTGTGCCAAAGTTGTTGATTGTCAATCGAGAGGAAAGCTCTAAGCTCTTGTACCTTGTCAAATGGAGGAATGGAGATCCAACAGCAAGTTTTTGGATAAGAGTGCAAGTAGAAGCCCGACTATACCATCAAACAAAACAGAGCATTAATGGAAAGGTTAAAACACACACACACACACAAACAGAAACAAGAAACAAGATGTCAAGATCTAAGTAGTTTGGCTCAGTAGTTTACACCCATGAGAAAGAACAGCGTAAATGCATTATCAGAAAATTGAAGAGTGCAAGTAGATCCTATACCACCCCATTATTCCTGTTTCATAGTCTACATCTTTCCTCACCTAACCAGAGTAAATGAAAATAACCAGCATTCCAGATATAACCCCCATATCCCAACATACACCTAGAGCCTACAGAGTACTCAAATATGAAGGCAAGGGGCATTAAAGAAGGTCCAAAATAGCTGAAGAAATTGAGAAGATCCAAGCAAAAATGGTCATGCAATGATGAAAAGCCTCAAGGGGACTTTGATAGTTTGTTGGGGCCAAATTTGGAACAAAATAAAGCAGAGTTTTGGGATTGAAAGATTAGGGAATATTTCTAGTAAATAGAATGTCCAGAAATCAGAAACAGCATTCAACTACCATGAACAAGAAGTAAAATTTTCTGGATAGAGCAATTTTTTTTCGATAATTACCGGATAGAGTGATTAACATCCAAAATCTAAAGACTTTTTATTCTGGTAATAATATTAAAATCATAAATAAAAAACTAGAATTTCTGTAAAGCACACAGTACCATAAAATATAAAGAAGGATTACAGACACAACTCTCTCCCTATTTTTGGATTAGCACCACACCAACCTTAACTGAATCTACTAATCCAAAAAAAAAAGTGAAAATAGATAAGAAGATGTCCAATTTGGAGGACTTTATGGTTTATGACCATCAAAATGCATGGATTATACCACACTCTAAGCTTTTAAAGAAGAAAACCAAAATTCTATTAGTAAGCAAAATCCCCTGTTTCAGAAATTCCTGCTTTATAAATTCATAGAGACGAAATCTGGATATTACTAGGAAATATTGATCTTCAAAATAAAGAGAATAGAAATCTAATAATTTCTACTGAAACCACCTAATAGCTTCAAAGATTTCCCAACATAGACATAAAAAACCACTATGTGACAAATAAAGACATGAATCTATTAACTATTTTATGAGGATACCTTGCAAGGTGTGAGATACCACTGCTGGGTTCACAAAATCCTTCAAAGGAATCCAGCACATCTTATTCTACCTTTGCACACCTCTAGGGTCCTTGGTTCATAGATCTATTTTTATTTTTTAACTATTATCAATAACTGAACATATGTTGCATTAAAAGAAAGAAACGGTAACTTCAATTCTAAGAGAAAGGAAATACGGTCCAAGGCTGCCAATAACACAATCTCTTCAATTACACTTGGTTATACAAATTAACCTCTGGGCCTGGGGTCCACCCAAATCAAATTCTCTCTAGCCCTTTCTAAAGAATCAGTAAGGCTATTAGCAAATTGAGGAGCTCACTTGAACAAGCAGTTCAAGTTATTTTCTTTAATCAAATGACCAAGAGTCCAAGGACTTGAATCTATTGGAGCAAACCGTGAAATGACAACATTGCAATCACCTTCCACTATTTTTTTACATTTGAAAATTTGTAAAATGATGCCAATCTGAGACCTTGACGTAAAGCAAGCATCTTGGATCTGAAGGAGTTACCCATTCCAAGAGGCCATGAGAAGTTTAGTAATACAGTTTCATTTTCATCTCTTATCACCCACCTATACTTGACTGTCATGGATTTCCATAACTACATCCACCAAAATTTTGTTTGAGTCTTCTTACAGGATTTTCCAAAAGTTGGATGGTTGGTATCCTTGGATGTATAAAACCAGCAACAGTAGACCACCCTCTTGAGCAATGAGTCCATCAAGGATCCTTTGAAATCCTCCTTACGTCAAGGTCCAATGAACCACCTATACCACTTCCTATTCTTTATTTTCAAAAATTCCCACATTTTGTTCATACCATATACTCCATTATACAAGCTGCCCTTGTGCATGACCAAAGAATCTTTCCCTTATTAGTATGGACTTGAATTACATGGGAGAACAAATCCATCATAAATTAGGTATGGTGCCAGGTGCATCACAAACATTGAGAAAAAAATGATTAGTACTTTGTAGTATAGGGACAAGGAGCAGGTGATTAGTGTCTTTCCCACTCCTGAAACAAAGAATGCACATATTAGATGAGAAGCAAAATAGTTTCCATTTGTGTTGGAGCATTTAAGCATTTCACAAGTTTTGATTGTGTACAATGCTGCTTCCTAACAGAAGACCTTGATCTTTGGAGGAGCAAGGCCTCCATAAGTCCCTTTTTTGGGAAAGGAGGGGAGGAGGGGGATGATACATTAAGAGCACAAAAGAAAGAAGAACAAGAGAAAAACACCAAGTGTCATGGGCCAAGATTCTCTTATCAACAACACCAACTAGAAAAGAGCTTCTTTAAGGAAACCTAGAAGGGAACAACCTCCTCCCAACCATAGTCCCTAAAATCCCTTCTGAAACCAAAGTCCCGAGACAACCCATTCCCTGAGAAGGACACCAAGTCTAAGTCTATAGAAAGATAGGGAATGCAGTCTTGGGAAACAAGAACAAGAGGGCTGTCCCCCTTCCGAAACCAAAATCCTGGAAGCAAGAATTTATTTCTATACTTTTCAACTCACTTACTGTATCAAGTGGATTTTAAAATTAGACACCCCCTAAAAAAATTATAGGATTTTTATAAATGTCACCACATGAAGGGGGTGATTTCTAACCACCATCCAATTTCAACCCTCCCCCCAAAGCATACACACACACAAGAGGGGTCATTGTGAATGCCACATTAAGGTCTACCCACCTAATTTGGCATTTTTCAACCAAGGAACCGATATATGTTTCCTAAGAGAATCCTGCATAGAACAGGGAAGTCCCTTCTTGCCACTACTGAAGATTGTCAAGAGAGCAACCACCTGTTTGGCTTGATCTTTGCCCCCCCCCCCCCCTCCAATGAGGGAACTTGTCCCAAGTTTACCTTTGATAGAAAATATCATCAGAACCCTCCATCATAACTTGTCCTCACAACAAATTGAGCTCACTATCCATTCATTCTCATGCTTGGAATTACCTCCTGCAGGTGAAGAAAATTTACTAAAATCAAAATACTAATACACTTACCATAGGCTTCTTTATGAACTTAACTAATCACCATCCATTTGATCAGAAGAAATAAAAGAACATAGGAGCTATTGCTTTGTGCAATGTTAAATCTTGGGCTGGAAGCCTGGAAAGCATGAGAATTGAGGTTTTAGTCTAAGAACGGCTGCTTCGTACAAAAAATCCAGAGGTTAGGTCTGTCTCCAGTCCAAAGTGAGAGCAAAAGTTAATTCAAGGTTTTCAAGAAAACTTCGCACCAGTTGTACATAGTAGAACAGGCTAATGTTATTGGTTAATATAAAAAATTACTAATATATGCATGCCAGAATAGTATCTATTCCTTAATGGTAATGGTCCACGTTCCCGGAAATTTCGTTCAAGACAGACGATCTTTGGTCTTTCCATAACTGGACGCTTCATATAATGGCTTGGAAACTGTAGGACTATGCTTACTGATTATACAACCACATCCCTGAAACTGTTTAACAGTAACTTAACTCACCAGCTAGTTTGTACTTTCTCATGGGAAGAAATAATTCTAGTCATAGGTAGCTTTGAAAAACAATAGTTTGAAGGTAATAACCAACAAGCTATCTCAAGTGGCATTTACCTCTTTGTAACCCAGAGCACTGTTGCAGTGCCAGATCAGACTTCAGAGATTGAGAAACTCAGGCTTCTTCCTACCTAATCACTATCAGTTATTCTCAACGAAATGTGAAAGCAAGGAAAGGCAAGCATTTAGAACATAAATACCTCATCATGTTTGCGGGTGGAAGAGGAAGATGCTAAGCCCACACAGCAATAGTCCTTAAAAGACAACAGAAAACATGATCACATGAGCAATATAATCACTAGCAGAATTATGACCACGACAACTGAAGAGACTAATCCATAAAACCTGCAATAGACGAGGACACACTGACACTTGATCACATAAGCAATATAATCACTAGCAGAATTATGATCAGAAAAACTGAGGAGACTAATCCATATAACCTGCACTAGACGAGGACACACTGGCACATTAAACAGACCACTTAAATTTTATTTCCTTTGGACGCAGACACGACCAGCCCGACTAAATTAACGAGAAGCAAGTACTGACCGCTGAAGAATGCTTAACATGACCAACTTTACGATAGGAAATAGTGGGGGAACTGGAACTACTGAGATCGCTTCATGCCTTCGCATATTCCCCCTTGCTATTGTTGCTGTTGGCGTTGCCATTGTTCTTGGAGGTCATTCCGCGGCGCTGATGAACGATATTGGTGAAATTAGTAGAGAGATCAGAGTAGAGCGAGATGACCTTGGAGATATTCCCATTAATCTCCCGAATTAGGGCAACATTCTTTGTAAGATTATCTGGAATCTTGGACTGGTGATTCTCGTTAACCTGTTGAATCAAAGCCCGATTTTGATCCAAGACCGTCTGGACCTGACGAAAACTCTTACTTAAAGTCTCCCATGCCCCCATGTCACCTCCCTCGGCATCGTCGTCGCAGTTCACATCGTCGCCATCTCCAAATCCGTTACCACCGCAGCCACGTCGTTCGTTGTAGGTGCCGTTCTTCTTCTCGTCATGGAAACGAAGCTGGTGGTCATTGGAGCTTTTGTCCATGCTCGATTCTGCGGCGGAGGAAGAATCAATCGTTGTCATACATGAACGAGTGTTCTGCGTCTCAACCTCTCGGATTCTCTCTAATGGATAGCTCGTTTTGGATCGAAGGAAACAAGTGGATTCATAGGGATGAGGATCGAGTATTTATATATCTGCAAGGAAAGAGAGCGAATATTGACTCGGCGTGGCTAATACCTTTTCTGATTGGACTAAGAGGTGTAATCGACTGGATAAATATATAAATAAAAAATTATAAATATCTTCCACCACGCCGGACCGCCCTCGGAGATATTTCTACGCGGTTTGCAGCACGTTCGACTCGAGTGTCGACCGGGTTGGCCCGGAAGAGACCCGGAGACTCTAGAACGTGAGATGGAAAAGTTGGGAAAGGCCTTGGCCCTTGCTACCGGTGACAGTTCAACAACGTTGGTCTTGTCACTTGTGGTTTAGTTGCAGAGGACGGTGGTTATGGTAGAGGGGAGAGTAGGGGAAGAAGAAAGGTGTGGGGATTTTTTGTGGGAACATGAGAGAATTTTAATAATTTATTATTAAATAAAATAACTAATTTTGTTTTTATTTTTTACCACATGTGAATACGAGAGAATTTTAAATGGGACCCACTTATAATTTCCTAGATTTTTTTTTTTGACTTGAGGTTCAATAGGAATCCAATTATATATTTTTTTCTACAATTATTAATTATACATTAAATAGTTTTTATTTTATTGTTGGTAACGTCCGAGATTAAAGATCCTATATCTGTCTCCCTAAACCTCCCAACCCATCCCATACCCTCCCCAAAACCTATGGTAGGTTGGATTTTGAGAATCCAAACCCTCCCCACACATGAAAATACAAAACCCTCCCCACATTCAAAGTTTGGAGCTAGGGCTGCAAATGGATCGGATCATGATCATCATCCAAGATCCGACCCTATTTGGTCAAATTCGGATCCCCCTATTCAAATCTTTGGATTGGATTTATAATACATATATATGTTATTTATTTATAAATATATTTTTATATTATAGTTTTATAAATTTCTTATATTATTTATTTTTTATAAAAAATATGTATATATATGATGAAAATAATTAAAACATACTTGTATTTTTTGTTTTTATTTTATTTAAATTAGTATATTTTATTTTTATTTTAATAATTTATTAATTTTTAAAGAAAACAAGTTGGATCGGATCATATCCGAAGATCCAACTTACCGATAGGATTCGAATTCAAATCGAGTTCTATCAGATCTGATCGAATCTTTAGATCGGATCGGATCCAACATGAACAGTGTTAGATCGGATTTGAATATACCCTTATACAAATCCGATCCGATCTGTTTGCATCCCTAGTTGGGGTGGGTTTAGTTTAGAACCTACATCTAATTTCCTATTATTTTTTGTTATATATAAGCAATAAATAAGTAAAATAATATAAACTTAATATTATAAACTTAAAATAAAATAATATACTAGTTGGGGTGGGTTTAGTTTATTGCTTATTTCCTATAAGCATTAAATAAATAAATAATACAAACAAACAACAAATTTTCCAATTATTTGATTAAGACATGTAAATTATCAAATTATCCCTCACATAAAATTTAAAATATTATTAAATTTAACATCTAATACATTAAGTTTATATGCTTTCAAGTTTCAACAAATTAGGGAGGATCAAGTTTAACCTAATAACATACCCTGTACCTATACAGGTTATAAAATCCTAAAAGTAGCCCCCACCCCAAAACCTGTCCTTCAAACAAAAAACCCGCCCCAATCTGGGTAGGGTAAAAATTGTCACCCCCAATCCTGGAGTTTCAAGTACAAGCTACCTATAATTTTTTCAGTTTTTTTTAACTTGAACAACCATATTATTATGTCCACTATTTAACAAAACTATCAACAATGTCGCTAATATTGCCTTTTGGCGTTAAAAAAAAATGCCTCTAACATTAACATTGTGTGTTTTTGTCTAACATTGAACTTTTCAACTTAATTTAGGTTGTGTTTGGAAATGATGGAAATAAATGTGAATACAAATATGTAGAATGTAAATCGGTTCATATAAATTGTAAAGTTAGATTAGTTTTGCACTAACAAATTTACCTTCTTACCAAACAGACTTTTAGCTATAATAGATGCAAACATAAATTTCAATAAAGCATACTTTTTTTTTTATCAAAAGCTCACTTGAATGCAAATTTACTACTTTTTACTGATGTACTTTTACATCTTATTATCAATGTAAATATGCATTAGTCTATCATTTGTCAATGCATAAATGTAATGTCAAATACAGGGAAAAGTGAATCGAAGTGCAAATTTACCAAACCGGGATTTACACTCCATTTGCGTCGTTTCCAAACACAACCTTAAGGTCCAAAATAACCCTATAAATTCTTCAAGGTCAAAAAGTGGCTTTTTGTCAAAGTTCAAGGATTGCCAGGCTTTAGAGTCACAAGCCTCACAAGCCAAGCTTGATTGGATTCTAGGCTAAAAACTTGATTTAAACCGAATCAAATCAAGCTTGAATAGCTAACGAAAAACAAGATTCATATCCAACCCTAACTGAAGTTACTGAACCTAATGTTGGACGCTTGTGCAGATGATACCTAGATTATTTGCAACACCAAAGGGAAAGAAGCATCAATTGGCCCCATAGAGTCTTCTCCTCCATAGGCTTACAAGTTTCAACCAGATGTCCAATGATGATTTCCACCGGGATATCTGGTTATAAGCCTACCAAAAATAAATGTCCAATGATGATTTCCACGACCATTCTACATACAGAGAACAGATTAGACTAAGTAATTAATTACACTTCTGGTACGCAATACATGCTTTCATGTTATTTAACATGGAAGTCTTATACCAACCGAAAAAAAATATTATTAACATGGAACTGAGCACACAACTCACAAATGTAGGTGCTCTCCTTGAGGTCCTGCAACTGGAGTTTGAACAGGTTAGAACAGGTATATGTTGAAGGGAGTTGGGATTTTACAGGATGAATTGAAAGCAGAAAGCTCAACGGCTAGATGGGTTTCTACATGTCGGACGGAAGGTAGCAAACCATCTTGTACAAACCTATTTGTTAGTACATTGCAAACCACCTGAACAAATCACATCGATTCAGAGTCAGTTTCGGACTCCATAAAGTTGAACTCTTTCCGACCATCTATCTTGATCAACACTGTTCCTTGGTTCTCTTCACTCCATCCAATACCTTCTTTCTCCAAAAGGCTAATGACCTAAAACATCAAACACAAATCAATCGCTATTGGCAAGGGACAGAAACGACAAATATAAGATATTCATGTCTACAACTCCAGCAGATTCATGGCTAATCATTTAATATACAAATGAATCGTTTTCTCACAGGAGCCTTACCGATTTTTTCAGTTTCCCCGTCCCAACCCCGTGGGTCCCACATCCAGTTATAACCCTAAGAGACTGAATAGCTAAGGCAAAAAGAAGAGGAGTTAGTGGAGCAAAATCACAGTCATGCTACTTAGAACAAGATGAATAAAAGAAATATTCAGGATCCGTTGGGTTCACAGTCAAAATTGGAATCAAAATCAGAGTTGGCCGGAATAGATTTTCATTCCCAAGGGAGGGAGAGGGAATGGCCATTCTCTCAAGTGGGGAAATGGCATTCCACCAGGAATTTCCTGGAATGGGATTCCAATTCCACCCAACCAAACAGTTGGAAATGGAAATGGACCATTCCAATTCCAATTCCAATTCCCTATTCCCACGAACCAAATGGACCTCAGTAATGTTGCATTAGGATGCTTACAAGACATGTATGTTGTATATATAAGATGAACTTTCAAGATCCTGATTGCTTGTTTGACATGTTGCCCATGTAAGTCGATTGTTATCACATTTTCTATTCTCTTGTTTCTGCAGACAATTCAAGCTAGACCATCCATCACATGAACAGAGAAACACGCGCACACACACACACACACACACACACAGAGAGAGAGAGAAAACCTAGCTACAAATATATCCTGACTGGCTTTTTCGTCTGCCTCCCTTGCCCTTCTTTTGTGAATTTCCCCCTATCAAAGTGAACAATAAGCAATCAGATTAATCTCAGCAGAAAAGATATTCATGCCCATGCTGGTTAATAACCTCTTATGTCTAGTGACCACTATCTTAATACTGTAAAATGTCCAACTGATTCAGACCTTCCAAGTACACTGGCCAATGCATGCCAAATGGACGACTTACAATCGAAGTCTTAGACTACAGGCCAAAGAACTTGGTGATTGCACTGTAGGCTTAATTTGAGAAGATGTGCTCAGGTGCATGTCTGAAATTACTTGTTACATAGGCTATTTTTACCTGTTCTGAAAGATAAGCTGCGTATGTCCTTTCTCCCTTTAAATATGCTGTTGTAGCCTGCATAACTGTTCTGTTACTAACAAATATACTTAAATTTAAATAAATGGGAAAACTAGAATGATGTCAAAGTCTTAACAACCAACTCACTTTCTGATAGCAGGATTTCATTGTACTCCAGTGCTGCTGTGCAGCTTTTCTAAATACTTGATATTCATCTCCTTCATATAATTCCAAAACAAAAAGAAATGTTAGAAATAGTTTGTTGAATATGACAGAATGATGTATTCATCAAGTAAAATCCAGAATTCTTGCACATGCTGTATCACAAGAAATCTGGATTTTAAAACTCAGAAGGCTAAGGCTACAAAATACATTTTAACAGGATCATGAGATAATGACGAAGTATCATGGGAGCTGAAGAAGCAGGTAAACTGATACTAGCAAACCTAAATTTCCAAAGCCTGATGGACTCCATGCACTCAAGGCATGGGGAATTCATGCTACATATAACATCAGAATTCAGGGCACAGAGGCTTTGTAGTGCATGTAGATGAGATGAGAAGATTTCTCATGCGTGTATGACTGAAAATCAACAACCATCTTTCACTAATAATTATCTATAATCTTCATAAAAATGTATAAACTCCATTTAAAACATAGATAATTAACATATTCATAAAAAAATAGAAAGAAAAGAATTTTCAGAAAATAGAGGGGCTCATGAATTGTCATAGGAAAAGAAAAAATGGATGGAAGAAAAATAATCAATATGTGTTGATTGGACAAAAATTTGAGTTCTTCCAAGCTTATTCTTTTAATCAGCAAGAAATTTAAAAAGTTCTTCCTTGCTTACTAATCAGTTCAGGTTTTGAAGACTTTGACGGTTCAAGACAACAGTATACATGTCTGAAGTCTGAATCCTAACAAATAAGAAAAATAATAAAAAGAAACTAATACTTTAACTCAAACTGAATAGTTTAGTTCAATAATGTATGTTTTATTATTATAAACTCAAAATGATAGGAATATAAAATATCAAGTGCACCATGTAAAAAATGTCTTGGCGATTCCATGAGCACCTTATTGCCTAAGCATCACCTTGACAACTATGAAAATCACTTTCCCAAAGCAAGGACATGAGGCTATTAGGTTTGTGTTGGATCCAACAGAAGAACAGTCTATGAAGCTGTATGGCAACACAATATGCTGTACAGCTGCTTGGATACTAGGTCCAGCCATATGGCCATACAATACAGTTGTATAATTGATCTCAGTGTGGCAAGACTTGGGCATTGGGTATACTAGGCCCAGCCACACACAAGACCTATTAAAAATGCATAACTGACTTGGTTGTATTCAATAGGCATTCAGATAATCAATACTACTTCACATTAATGCCTTTAGAGAAGGATGTATTCCCTCTTAAGCATAATGATGTGTGTTCTCGTCATAAAATGAATCCAAAAACATTCACATATTTTCCCTGCTTTTCATTCATGAATAACAAATATGGCCAACCAGTAACTTTTATCAGTTCAAAAGACACCAACACTATACTTTTATAGTTTTTTGTTTTTATTTGCTGGGAGGGGATATTGACTTTCTACAACATGCAAGATTTCCATAAAAAATTAAAAGAAATGAAAAATGAAGAACAATCCTATTTTTCATAAAATAAACTTGAGACAACCCACTAAACTATTTTGATATCACTTGCATTAGTATGAGCAAAAATAAGGAGTTGGTATCTGATATATGCTCAATGTAGTTAACATCAAGTACCATGTCCAACATTCTGTTGAGTTTCTGCTAAGTTTGGACGAAGATCTGATCCCTGTCCAAGTGACTTCATTTTTTTGACTGCATTCTTCCAGTTCATACTGCTAGGTTCATGCTCAGAACTTTTGGGAATGTTAAATAGAGATTCCAACACCTTTTGATGAAGATCTGATTCTTTGGTTACAGGCCTAGATTGGTATTCTTTATCACTAATAACGACATCAAGACAGTCCCTGAAGCAATAGAACAAGAAAATCAGCTCACGTTCTAGCCTTCTTTTGGAAGTGGTAAGGTTACTGATGGAGAAATAAAAACACACAAGCATCTGACAAGCAAAAGACAATGCTTTATATCAAAAGTTCATTAAACAAAAGATAAAGACAAACTAGCCACCAATTCACCTAATAAAAAATGTGAAGCGCCAGAAAAATAAGAAGGAATGGAGCAATTTTCTGTAATAAGGTGTAGTTCCAAGATACAACCATATTAGAGGTGCAAATCAGGTACCTGATTTTGAGAGCTTATACTACAACAGGGCTGCAAACAGATCGAATTGAACCAGATATAGGTAGATCCAAATTTGATTCTTTTATATTTGAATTCGAATAAGATCATATTCATCAGATTTATATTGGATCTGAATCCAATTCAGATTGCAATCAGATATCAGATCATTGTTAATGGGATTGAATTTGAACTCAGACAATAGGATACCATTTGCAACCCTATACTACATTGGGCCTAGGCTTTTGGATTGGGCCTATTCAAATTTTAAAAAAATCTCAACCCAAGTTTGCCAAGGTTGCAGCAGCCCTAACCCAGACATCTTATTAACATGACAGTTGTTCATTGCATCTGTACCAGATAGAGGATCTTTGAAACTTTCTTGTAGATGTTGAAATTGGACTGTCTTGTGTGCCTTACTCTTTGACTAGTTGAAGAGTGATAAAACTAACCTTTAATGGTTTCTATCTATAGAACCAAGGCTGTTCATGTGGTAAAGAGCGCTTAAAGAGGCCTAATTGGTGTATTCAAGTCCCTTCAGTTTTGCTATTTTGGGGGGCTCAATCAGAATCAAGCATGTTTACTTATTACAGGGCCTGAGATTGACCATTCTGATTCTCCTAGTTGAAGGTAAATGGTAATTCCCTCTGGTTATTCGAAGAATCAGATAGTGGGGAAGGTTTCTACCTGCTATATCACCACGTTAGGAAGGTTAGATGTTTGGCTGCTGAAGTAAATATCTTGTGCTACTGGATCCAAGATCAACAAACCTGTTAGCCAACAGCTTGGCTAGGTTTGTAGTGGAAACAAGGTTAGGTTTATTGGGGGGGGGGGGAGCTATAATCGTGTTGCTCTATTAATACTTGGTTAACAGTATTAGGATCCTTTTTTTCCATGACATGATGACTCAATGATATTGACACAAATCTCACTCCCACGATCCCACCAGGGTTGGGGTTAAGGATCCTTTCTTCCTTGAACAAAATGAACAATTACCCACCAGTATAGTTTTGCAGTATGATACAGAAAATGAACAATTACCCACAAAACAAACATCCTAATTGCCTCAAAATTCGAAACCCAACATCTTAATTGCCTGCAATATTCTTTTTTTTTATCAGAAATTGCCTACTATATTCACCATTGAGACACAATTCTATATGAACCTTCACGGAGCATGTAGAAGATGTCTGAAGAATCAATACATAAGAATTTCTCAATACATTATTTACTTGCATTCAAGAATTTTCTCTGTATCAAATAATTAGGATTAAGGGTCCAACCAATTCTAAGTAGGACTAGACAAGACAACAAACTGAAATCAAGCCTTTTTTTTATTCTCTTTTTCCTAGTGTTTTAAAAGCACGAGGCACAAAAAATGTACAAGGGATTTTTTGCACCTGAGGTGCAAAGTGCAAGGTGAGGCATGCACCTTTTTGAAGTGAGGCACACAATTATTAAAACTTACAAAAAATGCTAAAAATTAACAAAACAGTAAAACATTAAAAACATTTTTAATAAAAAATGCATACTTCAATTTTAAACTAAATGTTTTATAAACCCTATTAGCTCAAATTAAAATACATAAAACATATTAAAAGTAAAAATGTAAAAAATAAAATTAAACATAACATATAAAATACATTCAACCACTCAACAATTCAAGCATGTGAAGCTTTCAATCTCTTTATTTCTTTCCAATTTCATTACCCTAATTCTGCAAGCCGCTTTGTACCGAGCCCCTTGAGACAAGCCCAAACATGTCCATGCTAGGGTCTTGAATTCTTAATTCATACATAAAAGATCAGTTTTCTATTTTAATTATGGTTCTTTATCTTTTAGAAAACGCCTTCGATTAATAAAGATGAATAAACAACAGTAGTAAAGAGGGGGAGGGTACTCGAAGCACCAGCAAGATAGCAGGAGCACGCCTTTGTAAAGGTGCTGCACATGGGCCTAGGTTACTTGAAATGCACCTCACTTACGCACCTACATGCGCCTTTTAAAGCATTGCCACCCCCCATTGGCAACAATAACTAATGAGCTTTATGATAGTACAAGATTTAAGAATGAGATGTATGAAGATAAGTCAAGTCTTTTGGTTGTCTTGGAACTTGATATCCTCTCTAGTATCCACTGGTTAGCTATGATACCGAGATACCTGTACAAGGGTGCCATATTATGTCAGATACTTCAATTTCTAGTGCAGAATTTCATATCTAATGCCATATTCAGCCATCTTTGCCATGCCTGGGTAACATAGCTGGATAATAATGTGAGCTACATTAGAGCATCTCTGCCTACCTACCAACTAGGTCATACACATCCATGCAAGAGACAACCTGCTACAACAAACAAAACAGAAAAACTGTGAGGTAACAGAAAGAATCAAAATAGGCTTAGGCTAAATACCTGCAATTGTAGTGGGGAGGCAATAAAGTTCCCTGAAGGTCCTCAGATAAATGAAGAGTTGAATCTGATGGTCTATATGTTAACTGTTAACAAAATTTTTGGCATCAGAAAATGATATGCACGGAACATGTAATCAATTGATATTTCCAGTGATGTTAATTGTAGAAGGAAAAGAATAAATTGTAAAATAATACTGATATTGGGACGACTGTAGTAGTAAGGTGGTTTGGTATACTAGACTTATTACTAGTTAAATTTTGAACCCAGAAAAAAAAGGAGGCTACTTTGATGGCAAAAATCAATAATGCTTGGACCCACAAAACTCACAAGCCATCCCAGGTCAGAACTGTTAGAACTTAGAATATGTATCTAAACCAGGGTAAACCGGTTACTAGTTAAGGTGGTTTGGTATACTAGACTTAACTAGTTAAATTTTGAACCTAGAAAACAAAGGAGGATGCTTTGATGGCAAAGAAGAGTTCGAACCTCTCTCCCTAGCCCCCTTGATCTCTTTTATTAATTTAATTCTAAAATTGAGTACAATTACGTGGATGCCCTTATTGAGGTGGCCAGCACTAAAGAAATATATAAAGAGAACAAAAAAGGCCCATAACCAACAAGCATAAACTTAAAACACTACTTAAAAGAAATAAGAACACTAAGGCGCATTTGGCCCATTCTCACTACACAGACAAAATGCTTACTTTTATAAGGGAAAAAAAAGATGATTTTGCTTCAAAACAAAAGCTTTTTTATCAGCAAATAAATTCCATTTACTAATCTGAAATAACATTACAAGTGTTTTAGCTATTGAGCTGCCCAATTTACAAAGCAATCAAGAACTTTCAAGTACATTGGTCACCCAGTTTCTTTTTCACTGCAGCAATTACAGCTTTGCCCAAAACAAGGTTGGTCTATCTGCCCCCTGTTTTGCTAAAACATCTGCCAATCCATTTGTTGTCCTTCTTACCCATCCAAAATTTGCATTAATCTTTCTTGCAAGACAATCAATCTCCCTGAAAGCAAACCTGTACTTCAAGGGTGCTGACTGGATTTTCTTTGCCCAAGAAATCACCAAGAGTAAATCTCCTTCAACTTCCAATTCTCTAACCCCTAGTTGTGATGCTAGTTTCAAGCCTTGCAGAAGAGCCATAATTTCAGCCTGAACTGAATCTCCCTCCAAAGCCTACTGGTCCTGAGAATAGAGTCATTACTACTCCTTGAAAGTTTCTGATAACTCCCCCTATGCCTGCCCTCCCTGGATTGCCAAAGAAGCTGCCATCAAAGTTTAACTTTGATCTTATTTACCTCTGGTAGTTTCCAATCCATTCTAACTACTTTATGTGTCTATTTTATGGATTCTGTCACTTCCTCAGATCTTATCTTTTCATTGAATATCCTATTATTTCTTTCCTCCCAAATAGTCCAGACCAAAACTTCCCTTACCATCTTCCACAAACATCTTCCCCTTTTTTTGTTGCCTCAAGAAGTTGGGGTTGAACAAACTAACCACATCCTATGGGGGAGCCCATCTGCAACCAAAGAGAGAACAGAAAAAAGTCCCATATGCAAGACACAAAGGAGCAGGAGATTAATAAATGAGGAAGGATCTCACCACAAGCCTGACAAAGGATACACACGAGGAGAGAGGCATTTATTTGGCCTTCTTTTCTATAGCGCGTCACAGGTGTTAACTTTTCCAAGGAACACTTCCCAACAAAGAGTTCGTACTTGGGTAAAAAGAAGTGCAAATTCATTTGCAGATGGATTAGCTAGGCAAGGGGTGAATAGGAATTCAGTTTTTTGGGCTTAGATGTAATTGTTCCTTTTTCATTTTGGGTGCATGTTGGCATATTTGGGGAGTTAAGATATTTTAGTTCCCCTCCTCTGTAAGTTTACTCTCTTTTAATGAAATTTCTTGTTATTGATAAAAAAAAAAAACAACAAAGAGTTTGTACTTTGGGAGGGATTGGTTTGCACCAAATTTCTCTGACTAGGAAATTTACCCTCAAAGAGTCTAAGTGGATGAGTAGGTTGAAGAAGCACACGAAAAAGGCCATCTGGGGAAGGAAACCAAACCCTGCCATCTAGAAAGCTCTGGTCCAAAAACATCTTTGGAAGTGAATCACACTCATTATCCCTCAGTCCCCTTCCGAAGCCAAAGTCTGATGGTGCCCCAAATCTAGAAACGGTTTCCGCCTTAAGGTTTGACGGAGAAAAGAGTCCAAGGAATGCAAATTAAGGGGGGTATCCCCAATCCAAAGGTCTTCCTAGAATAAAACATGGTCCCCACAACCCACATCAAAACTAATAAAATTAAGAAAGGTTGGTAATACCTCAGTTCCACAGGGAATTTTATGTTGCCTAAGGTGCTAGCTTTGCATCCCATCCATTGTCCACCACACTGTGAATGCTTCCAATGACCTTGTGTCGAAGCCTATCTCCTTCCAAGAGAAATCTCCAAAGCCATTTCCTAGAAGAGTTGTTCCTTTTAACTAAGTCCCCAATACAGTCCTCCATGTTCCTTTGATTTACATAGTTATTCCCGTTTGACCAGATGATCTTTCTTTTTGTCTCCTAGCTCCGACAAACAATCCCTCATCAATTTTTCTAACTATCTTGCTATTTTCATTGAGGTTCTAAAGGTGGACAAAAAGTAAGTGGGCAGGTTGGCTAGGGTAGACTTTATCAAAGTAATTCACCCTCCCATTGAGATATAGTTCTTTTTCCACATTGCTAACTTTTTAGTGAATCTTCCCACTATTGGTTTCCAAAAGCCATTTGCTCTCAGATTTCCTCCTAAAGGCATACCAAGATACTCTAGGGGCCAATTTTTCACCTCACAACCTAGTAATCCTACCAACACATGGATGTCTCCATCTCTCATATCAACTCTCACCACACAACTCTTTTCCCAATTGACTTTTAACTTTGAGATCCTTCGAAAATGACCAACTAAGACTTTTAAGTTCCTCAAGCTGGCCTTAGTACAATCTTCACAAAAAATGATTATGTTGTCTGCAAATTGTAAGTGAGTCACCACCACCTCATTTTCATCAACCCTCGACCCTTCAAACTAGTTTTCTAGATCAGCTATAATGATCAATCTACTTAGAACCTCGGCAACAATGGTGAACAAGAAGGGGGAAATGGGGTCTCCTTGCCTTAGACCTCTTTTAGCCAGGAAAAAGTCCCTAGCCACTCCATTGATTAGTACCAAGAAATATGTTGAACTAAAACAACCTTTGATCCACTTCCTTCATTTCTCACCCATGCCAGTTTTTTCAATAAACCCAAGAGGAAGGACCAATTCACCATATCATAGGCTTTTTCCAAATCTAGTGCAAATTAGTCCTACCCCACCCTGCTTTTTCTTTTCTACTACACACTCATTGGCCACAAGGATTTGGTTAATCATTTGTCTCCCTTCCACAAAAGCTCCTTGATTTTGGGAAATTACTAGAGGCAGAACAGTTTTAAACCTCCTTACCACTGTTACTAGGACTTTGGTAATGATTTTGTCGAGATTTACACACAAGGCTAGGCCTAAAGTCCTATGGAGTCTAGGTTCTTTCTTTTTAGGCACTAGGGCTAGGAATGTTGCATTAGCTCTGGGTGAGATTACCCTTTTTTTATGAAATTCCACAAGCACCTCCATCAAATCATCGTTTATGATTTCCCAACAGTCTTGATAGAAGGCAATTGAAAAACCAATAGGTCCTAGCGCTTTAGATATTTCCATTGAGAAAATTGCATCATGAACTCCTCCTCACTGAAACTCCTCTCCAAAAGAGCTGCTTGGGTTTCCGAAACTTCAGTCCAATCTAAATCCCTCACTTCCTAATTCCTTTCCCCTAAGGAGGCAAAGATTGATTTAAAATGATCTTCAAAGGCATTAACAATTTCCTCCTCTAATGTTATCACCCCTACCTTCAATTTCAATCCTAGAGATCAAGTTTTTCCTTCTCCCAATTGCCACTGAATGAAAGAATTTTGTGTTACCATCCCCCCCAATAACCATTTACATCTTGATTTCTGTCTCTAAGAGATTTCCTCTAATTCCACATACATAAAAAAAAGGATTTCCTCTAATTCCACTTTTAGGTTCCATCTTTTCAACATTTCCTCCACACTAGTCTCTTTCCGACCTTTCAAAATAAAAGCTTTTTTCCAATTTTCATTAAAAAAACCGGTTGTTTCAACGAAGAGCTCTAACTTGGGCAACTATTCAAGTAGGTAAAAGAAGTTGAAGGATAGTGTCAAAATGGGGAAAAAGGATGAAGGTTAGTTGACAATTGAAGCTTATGAACAAATACAAACAAGAAAACAAAATGTTAAGTGTTCAATAAATGAAGATAGCAAGATCCATTCATTTTCATGGGCATGCCATATAGTTTTTGAAGGTATCAAGATTAAGTGTTCAATAAATGAAGATAGCAAGATTCAATAAATGAAGATAGCAAAATATCAATACAGCCTGATACGTTGGAAGGAGTGTATCAATACTTTGAACCTTGCACTTTTTCATTTTTTTAATTAAAAAACTTAAAAACAGTGCATCGGTGATTAGTCAATACAATATGTATCAGCCAATACAGGCCAATAAGTTGTGAAACTTTGGTCCTCATTTAAACTGTCAATGTTGGTGGAAATATTGGTCATCCAAATATAAGTAACATGTCATAAATGTTGTATGGAAATATAGTAAAAATTATAGACATGATGAAGACATTTCGAAATATGCAAAAATAAAGAATCATATTTTATGAGGGTAGTAGTAAGAAATGATTTAGGCACTAACAATTTAATAGCGGATATGACTTTAAATAGAATGGATTAAAGAAACAAGCTTCATGTAGCCGACCACATATAGTTGGGATAAGGCATGAGTGATGACGATGATGATTTTATGAGAAGATAAAAGAAGCATAGGTAAACCATTTTGGAATTATTACCTGTTTTAAACCATCAAAGCTAAGAAATTAATGTTAAAAGACAAAATAGTACACCATGAAGTTGTCCTATAAACTATAAGAGTTAAAATTACATGATAAAGTGAGTCCAAGCAAAGTTCAAATACATAGAAAGCGCAAACAAGGTTCAAAGTATCGGAAATAAAAGGTCTCGAAAAGGTAGTTTTAAGACGCATTTCAGGATATGCTTTGAATATGCATGGATACGGGCGGAAAATCAAGATACACAAGGATACATTAGGAAACTCAAATAAATCTTAAATAAATATCAATATAAATGATGGAAGAACTAAAATCTGTATGCACATCATAGTTGTCAAGGTGACACCAAGGCGACAAGGCACCCTTGGAGGCTCGCCTCGCCCAGTCGCCTAGTAGTTTTGTATTGTGTCTTATAAATTACTTTTAAATTGTTACTTTTTTGAGATTATAATTATAAAATAGACATTATTAAACAAAAATATTCATTTTTTGTGTTTATAAACTAATTTCTTTTTATTATTTCTTATTTGTTAGGGTTTAATCAACACAAGACTTCTTCTTCTTCTTCTTTTCCTATAACAAAAATAGGGGTTCAGTCCCCATATTTTTTGAATATTCTTTTGTTTCTTCTTTTTCTTCTCATAAATATGTTGATTTTCTAGACATAAATATGAAGTTTATAATTTTCTTATGAAAATTATGGATAGTTATTAAGGAAAGATGGTTATGGAGCCTAGGGAACTACCTAGGATATGTATTTTTCACTTAAAAAAACCCATCGCCTAGGCAACAAGGCACCCCCCTGTCGCCTAGCCTCGCCTTGGCACCTTGAAAACTATGATGTACATACCTTAATTTAAAAAAAAAAAAAACTATATAACTTATCTTAATTATTATTAATATATAAATTTTAATAACTAATTTTAGCATTTATTGACAAATATCCATTAAGAAAGAGAAAGTTACTTAAAAAGACATGGCCTAGTGGTGGACTTATGGTCATTGCAACTTAATCAAGGTTCAAATCATCATATTGACATAACGTGTACTTTTTATACTAACAATTATAAGCCTTAAAATCAACAGCTTGTAGTTAAGGAGTTATAAACGAAATTATGAGAGAGAGAGAGAGAAACAAAATTAATAAGGGTCCATATTCAAATTTGAAAACATGAATTAAATACAGGAGTAAATTAACAAAATTAATTAGAGAGAAACCAATCAATACTACAAGTATTGCCTTGTATCAGACCTGTATCGGCCAATACAAACCCGAAATGGTACAGTACGAGCCAATATCAGCCCAATACACAAAAAAAGGAATGCAACAGATGATTTTTACATGTTTCATGTATTGGGCCTTTGTCAAAACAATATGTATCGGCCAATACGGCCCGATATGTTACGAAATTTAAAACCTTGAGTGCAAATCATTCTAAAAGATCAGCCAAATAATCAATTACATAAACAAAAATTAAGATTTAACTTCATGTCTAGATATAATTTCAAGTTGGTTCAAAGTGATAACCATTGACCATTAGGTGGGCAACAATACTACTACTCCACATATCTACAATATTGTCACCAACTAATGTTATAATACCATATCCTCTACTCCACATAGTGACAACAGTAGTTTCAACTAGGGAATATGTCAATTCAAGTAATGTTTCATGTTGATACCAATGGAAATGGAAATATTAGAAATATATGGGCATTACCAAAACAAAAGTTAACAGAGAAAAAGAAAAACACGAGAAGAAAAAACTTGCATTTAGATGGGCAAGTTTATCCTTGATAACAAAGAAGAAACAGAAAGTAACAAAGCTCACGTTGTAAAATTCAGGAATACCTGGAAATTCCCTGCAGTACTATCAAGACTGTCACTGTCACTGCATTCAATGAAGACTCTTCTGTCTTGTATGTCATTTTTGTTGTAATCGCCATGGCCACTGCTTTTGAACTGGTTGTAGGAGGTGGTAGATAAGTTGAGCAATGCATCCAAGGCCTGAAAAAAGCGTAAAACTAAGACAAATGCAAATTCCTTAGATTGATCAAAAGTAAGAGTAGAATTATTGTCAATTCTTCAAAGGTTAAGAATTGGAAGCAGTCAACACTTTAACTGGTTGATAGTTGAGGTAGATTCAAAGATAGTTATTGGATGGCTCAAGAATGGGAGCTTTATGTATGGATGGATGGAGAACTGGAAGCAACATTCAATTGGATTCAAATAGCAAGTAATAGCATGGCAGATGGACCAACTAAAAACGGGAGTAACAGAACTCAGATGTGTGTGGGGGTGATCTTGGGGAGGGGTGAGGGAACGAGTTATATATGGATGGATGGAGAACTGGAAGCAACATTCAATTGGATTCAAATAGCAAGTAATAGCATGGCAGATGGACCAACTAAAAACAGGAGTCACAGAACTCAGATGTGTGTGKGTGTGGGGGGGGGGGGTGAATGATTTGTAATTCCTTATTAAGCGGATTGTAGACTGTGTATATTTGCTACCCCAAATTGTGGGATGCAAACTAGTTTGTACTGTATATAACACATAATTCTTTCAATACAAATAAAGTTACAGTAATTGATCAAACAAAAAATAAATATCAAAATTAACATCCATCATCAGTTTTGGTTCCCGATTTGAGCTGTTTTCTGGTGGGCAATCCTTATTGTAGATCAGTTTTGGTTCCAGATTTGAAGCAAGTTCTCTGATGATCTACTCACATAAGATCATGATTCCACACAGGATTTGGTTGTTTGGAGGTGATTTTTTGCCTCTAACAGAACTCCAGTAAGGTTCAGAAATCCGTCTCAGCCATCTTTCTGAGTAGAGGAAGGACATAGAGTATTCTTTATTGGGAATTTCTGGAGTGATTCAATGGCTGCAAAAACATAGCTCCATAAGTCTCTAGATGAAACAACTAAGAACCCTAAGAGTTGACCCCTTTTTATGAATAACAGAACACTTTCATTAAGATAAAAATATTGAAGTACAAGGAATAAGCCATCCCAGAGGTTGAGATGGCCTAACCCAGAGCTGCTCTAATCAGATAAACAGTATGTCAAGTAGAAATCCCATCCCCCCAGAATAGATTCTCTCATTCAACCCCTTCTCATGCTAATCCATCTGCCAAACCATTGGCAGCCATGTAAACCCACTGAACAGCAATAACTCTGCCTCTTTAGCTCATTGATCTCTCTCATAATGTGTCTATACTGCTTAGGACACTTTCCTTCATTATATACTTATTCCACTACCACTTTTGAATCCCGTTCAATGATGATATTGGTGAAATTGTTTTTCTTGGCCAGCTTTAAACCTTGTAGTACCGCTATAATCTCCACTCTAACTGCATTTCCATGGCCTGCTGGCTGAGTTGGAAGTTGGGACCTTAAGAGTAGATCCTTCTAAGCTTATTGACACCAATATGATCCTTTCAAAAAAAACGGAAGCCCTATTATGTAATATTACGTGTTGCCAAGCTATTTTGGTCTAGGCAATGACTAATTGACAGTTGAACATGCCAGCTGGTTTGTTGTAGTCCCTCAGGATCATGGCAGTTTCTCTACATGTCGATATACCATTTTCAAGGGGAAACTCCTAAAAATGATCACAGAATACAATTTCTCCTTTTTATATTGTTTTATTTTATTTTATATTTTGAGGAAAGGGATTTCCTGAAGTAAAATGAAATGAAAAGGGTGTGAGTATCCATTAACTAAGCAGACTACGAGGAATGGGAAGTGGAGGAGGTGGCTCCTTTTTTTTTTTGATAGGTAAAAGAAAATTTTCAATAAAATAAAAAGATTACAACCTGGATAGGTGATAAGGTAGCACCTGGCACCCAAAAGATTTAAAACAGAACAATTTTATATTTCCCCTTCATAATTCTGTAAACCCACCACCTCCCACAATCTTTCTCCTAAATCTTCTCTCTTTATCTGAGAGAACTCTGGCAATATCAATGGCCAATCTGCAACTGATTTACCCACAGCCACCACCAATCTGTCCAGCTTCCATTCCTTGTCTTCAAAGATTCTTCTATTCCTTTATTTCCAGATATTCCAGCAAATGGCAAATGGAATACATCTCCATATTATTTTAGCCTTTTTTTCCTCCCCTAATTCTTGGCTAAGTAGAGAAGATTTTAGCAGGTGACCTTGGCTGGAAAGTCCTAACCCCAAAGAGTATCGTGAAGGGATTCCACAAGAAACCAGAAATTTTGCATTCAAAGAAGAGATGGCCGACTGATCCCTCCTCCTCCTTGCACATAAAACAAATGCTGCCAAATTGAATCCTCTTGATTTCAAATAATTCACTGTCAACACGCTATCCATAGCCACCAGGCAAGCAAAAGCTTCCACCCTAGGGGGAATTGGGTACCCCAGACCCCACCCAATGAATCAAAGTCCATTTGGTTCCAGCACAAGCCAACAAGACTTGACTGTAACTTTCCATTTGAGCATTCTTTCCACCATATTTCATCCCTGGACTGGGTTGAGATGTTCACCTTCTCCAACTTCTCCAGCAGACTTAAGAACTCCTCAATCTCCCTATCGAGGAGTGGCCTTCTGAATCTGGGGCTCCAAACTATCTTCTCCCCAATTCTATCATAACAACTGAGGACAGACACTCCCAATTCCGACAGCCTGAATAATCTTGGGCAAACCTCACACGATCACTCCACTCCAATCATCCTCACAAAATCTTATTCTAGCTTCATCCCCAACTGCAAAGATACAAAACCGTCCACACTCTCCCCCCCCCTGAAACCCAAGATAGAAAGATATGGCTGCAGAAGAAATCAGGAATATTCGTGGTAAGATTTTTCTTCAATGAGCTAATGCACTCAAGAGAGTTCTTTCCTGGTGAAGGAGCATGGTATTCTCCAACACCTTCAAAGGTGGAAGCTTCAGTCCAGGATTTGAGAACTCATAAAAAGTGGTTTTACCTGCAGAAAGTGACTGAGTAACATTTATATATTATTTAAGTTCTAGCATAGAAAGCAAAATGTTCTCACAAATGGAGTAAATTTAGGAATCATTGCCTGCTGCAACGGTAAAAACTTGACAAGCATGAAAGATGCAGGATTGAATCTTGATAAGGTTAAATCTGTATCCAGTCTACCACTCTCAAGGCCCCAGAGACGAGGGACCATCATTGGAAAACAGCCTTTTATATATTGAAGCAAACTTAAAGAATCTACACCTAGCTAATTACTTGGAAAAAGATATGCAGATCAAACAAAAGAAAAGGAGACGAAAATCCAAAGAGGATGCTAATGATGACCTCATGGTCCACTTGGGTGGCAAATTGGCAACTTCTGCCACTCCATATAGCACTATGAAATGTACTTATTCAAGGTTCAAATCTTTATCCACCAAAAAGATAGGCTGGACTTAAACTGTGAATCAGTTTGGAGAAGGAACAAAGAAATAGTTAACTTAGCCCCTTTTTTTAAGATAAATAAAGAAAATTCTTAATTGCTAAAAATAAAAGAAATTACAGCTTAAATATGGTAACAAGTGGTCACCCCCAGCTTAAATAGTTAACTTAGCCCTTGAAATTATAGCAAGTCATGACAGCAAAAAAAGAAACAAGATGCAAGGAGCAGTTTCTTATCTGATCTTGCTTTTTAAATGGTCAACATATTAGTAACTGAAAATCAGCGCTTAGCACCAAGTAGAAGGGAAATCAAAGAATGAACCAGGTGTAGAGTTTACTATACCTTTTCAACATCATATCGGCATTGACCTGCAAAGATGAATTTCAGGTTATTCACCACTACAATTGAAGTATGTAAAATATTATATTTAGTCTTTAATATGTCCAATGTGTGAAGGTTGAGAAAATACACCCATATAAACACAGATAAATATGAAGACTAACAACAATGCATGGTTGGAAATCCAGCAGCCATATCATTAAATTTGGATAGGGCTGGCTGAATTCTTTTAACTGGCCTTCCAGTAGGGAAGTCAACATGACTGCTTGAGAATCTCAAGAAGGAATTCAAATTCCAGCAGACAACATACACAGTTTGTCACTTGGGAATGCAGATTGATCAACAAACTAAACAGACCCCCCCCCTCCTTTTTTTCTTGGGGGGTG